CCTTGCACTGCCATCGCAGCCGTGGAGTCTAATCATAACATGAGGTCCTTGCACTGCTATCGCAGCCACGGAACCTAACTACAAACATGAAGACCTTGCACTGATTTCACCCTAATTACAACATGAGGTCCTTGCACTGCTATCGCAGCCACAGCCTAATCACAACATGAGGTCCTTGCACTGCTATCGCAGCCGCAGAGCCTGTGCCAATCACTATATGAGGTCCTTGTACTGCTATTGCTGTCGTAGAGCTTAATCACAACATAAGATTCTTGCACTGCTATTGCAGTCGCAGAGCCTAAACATAATATGAGATCCTTCATTACAAATGTAGGCGTGGAGCCTAATAACAATATAAGGTCCTTGCACTGCTATCGCCGATGCGGAGTCTAATCACAAAATGAGGTCCTTGTCTGCTATCGCAGCAGCAAAGCCTAATCACTACATGAGGTCTTTGCACTGCTATTGCAGTTGCAGAGCTTAATCACAACATAAGGCTCTTGCACTGCTATCACAGCCGCAGAGCCTAATCATAACATGAGAACCTTTATTGCAGTTGCAGAGCATAATCACAGCATAAGATTCTTGCACTGCTATTACAGTCGCAGAGCCTAAACATAATATGAGATCCTTCATTACAAATGTAGGCGTAGAGCCTAATTACAATATAAGGTCCTTGCACTGCTATCGCCGATGCGGAGTCTAATCACAAAATGAGGTCCTTGTACTGCTATCGCAGCAGCAGAGGCTAATTACAACATGAGGTCCTTGCACTGCTATCGCAGCCGCAGAGCCTAATCACTATATGAGGTCCTTGCACTGCTAGCATAGTCGTGGAGTTTAATCAAAACATAAGGTCCTTGCACTGCTATCACAGCCGCAGAGCCTAAACAAAATATAATATACTTCATTACAAATATAGGTGTGGAGCCTAATTACAATATGAGGTCCTTGTACTGCTATCACAGATGCGGAGCCCAATCACAACATGAGGTTCTTGCACTGTTATCACAGCCGCGAAGCCTAACTACAAAATGAGGTTCTCGCACTGCTATCGTTGCTGCAGAGCCTAACTACAAAATGAGGTCTTGCGCTGCAAACGCCTAAACATTATATGAGGGTCTTTACTACAAATATAGGCGTGAAGCCAAATTACAATATGAGGTCCTTGCACAGCTGCGGAGCCTAATCACAATATGAGGTTCTTGTACTGCTATCGTAGCAGTGGAGTCTAAACATAATACAAGGTCTTTACAATACTAATGTAGTCATAGCGCCAAATTACAATATAAGATCCTTGCACTGCTATCGCAGCTGCAGAACTTAACTACAAATGAGATTCTTGCACTGCTACTGCAGCTGCAGAGTCTAATCATCAAATATGAGATACTTGCACTATTATTGTAGCTGTTGGTCATAATCACAACATGAGGACCTTCTACTGCTATTGCTGCTGCAGGCCTGATCACAACATGAGGTCCTTACACAGCGAAAGTTCAACATTGAAAGTCCCCCAGTAAAGTCCAACGGCAAAAGGCCACAAACAAAAGACTACAAATAAAAGCTCATCAGAAAAATCTACCAACAAAATTCACCAGTAAAAAATCTATAACAAAGTCTACAACAAAAGCCGCAAATAAAAGTTCACCAACAAAAAACACCAATGAAAGTTCAAATAAAAGCCTCCAGCAAAAGCTTTCCAACTAAAATTTTTCAACGAAAGTCATCAAAGGAAAATCCATTAGCGAAAGTTCGGCTAAAGCCCATCAGAAAAAGTTCAAAAGAGGATAGAACTAAAATCTATGACTCTAATAATGAAAGCTTCCCATGCACTTCTTCTTGCACTATCGTCACACAAAGTTTAATTGCCAATAATGAGATCTTGTATAGCTCAATTATCCACAGAGCCTAATTGTCGTGGGGATTAATTAAAGCGTGTATTTCTCTAAATTCTGGCCCAAATGGCTTGATTCATTTGATTATACACTCGTGGCTTCACTACGTTTGCTTTAGTACTACCTCCTTGCCCCTTCACTTTGCAGCGTCTCCAACCTTCAATCACAAGGCACACTGCGTTATTAGTTAGGCTTTTGTAGTTTTTACTTTAGAACAAAATAGTAGAAGTTGAGATTCGACTGCCAGAATTTATTTAAAATCATGTGCACTTACATCACTGATACCCTATAGTCTTCAAATTAGTATTACTAATAAACTATTTAATAATGATAGACTCTTATATAGTCCTATTGTCTTGTACTATTTAACTTCGTAAATGAGAACCTTATTACTAATCATTACATCAATCATCCCATATTGAATTTGATCTCTGCACGTTATACCCTGATCATCTATCCACGTGCATCCAATAATAATCCCGACATGAGCTAGACCCCCCGGGACTTCGTTCTGAAGTTCGACCCATGTAATCCAATTTCCAACATTACAAACTTTCATATCTACTATTAAATACCAACACAAAACCCAATCATTATGCATTACCAACACTTAATCTAATTGTACTAACTTTTAATTACTTTTTTTTTTTTTTTTTTTTTTTTTTTTGGTTTCAATCACGCAAAAGGTCGGATAGATCGTCCTCCGAAGAAATATATTCTTCATTGTCCGATTGTTCTTCATACACTTGACTTATTCGTTCTTTAATCATTCTATCCTCACAGTCAGGTTCGTAACCATCCAATTTCAATTTCTTTACTCGATTTCTTATGATCGGGTCTTTCAACTTCAATCCATCAACTTCTTCAAGGTAAAATTGACCAAATTCTCCAACTTCTATCACCCTATAGAGACCAACCTATCGGTAGTCTAATTTCCTAGAACACGTATCCAAGGTCAAATCATAAACCAATACTAGGTCACCGATATCAATTGGTTCTCTTTCCCGGGACCATTAATCGTGAAACTCTTTCCACTGCCATTTCAATTCATCACGATTTGTTTGCACATTTTTCAGATCACCAACCAAACCTTTTATTTGTAGGGATCGGTATTCAAGTAACTCATTAGTTGTCCATTGGCTTCTCAACACATACGTATGATAACTCTCCATCACCAATTCGATTAGCATTATTGCATCTCTTCCATAAACTAGACGAAAAGGGGAGTACCCCAGGTCACCAACAGTTGTGTTTATAGCCCAAATCGCACTTCATATGTATTCATGCCACCGATTTTGTCGTTTCACACACAACTTATGAATAATCCTAGTGAACTTTTGGTCCACACGTTCTGCGTGACCATTTGCCTCAGGATGGTAACTAGCAACAAAACATTGATCTATGTTCAAACGCAACAACAGTTCTTTTATTATTGTATTTTTAAAGTCAGTCACTCTATCCGATACTAGAGCGGTAAAGCATCCATGGTGCAAGATTATATCTTCCCAAATAAATTGGTCTATATTTTTAGCATTCTTTTTGACTAGAGCCCTTCTTTTAATATAGCTGGTCAAGTCCTCAATCGCTAACAACATGTGCTTATGCTTCGCCATGATACGGGGCAAAGGCTCTACACAATCATAAAGACCTTCTTAAAGATCCAACTTGTCACAGTTACATGTATTGATTCAGGTGGCAATTTCGTAGCACACCTTTGACACTGTTTACAGCTTGACACTATCCTTTTCATGTCTTCGTACATATTCCCTAATCTCTAAACATATTTTATCTTCACCAAGGTCAAGGTCCTATTGATACCTTGATGGCCACCTTTATTCGCTAATCCTTTATAACATGCCTTCACGATGTCTTGTTTGTTACAGTCTTCTAACACAACACGCCTTGGCGGGGCTCTTTTCTTCAATCATAGGTACAAATTTTCTCCGATTAAGTAGTAACATTTTAATTTTCTTTTCAAGTGAGGTAGGTCATGTGCATTCACATGTAGCTTCCAACTCAATTGTTGCAAGTATTGTTTTACTAGAAACAAATCATTAATTTTTTGATTTTCCAAGCCCACACAATACAACAACCCTTTAACGAAGTCATCATTGGTCTGTGTACATTGATTTGGTAAGGCAGGATATCGTGACATTCCATCTGCATTAATATATTTCTTGTCTGACTTATACCGAACCTGAAACTCGAATGATTGAAGCAGCAAAACCTACCTCATTAGTCTACCTTTCAACTCAACCTTATTGAACAACCATTCCAAAGTCTGATGGTCCACCCATACATCAAATACAGTTCCAGTCACATATCGTTCATTTATGTGACAACCAAACATGATCTCTAAACACTCCTTTTTAGTGACAATGTAATGCAACTCATGTTCATACAACTTCCTGGAATCGAACGATACGGGCTTCAAGCATCCTTCATTGTCTTCTTGCTCAAGAACTACCCCCACAGAAGTATCACAAGTGTCAGTATATATATGATACGGCTTTTGTCCATGCTTGGCAGCTTGCCAATTGGACGCTTTCAGAATGACTTCCTCACTCAATTTTTGCTTTAACAACTCGAACGCATTATTTTCTTCAGGTCTCTAATAAAACTTAATATTCTGCTTGGTCAAATTGGTCAGCGGTTTGGCGATTTTGCTAAAATTTTCGACAAATCATCAATAGTAATTCAACACACCATGAAACGACCTTACTTCTGTTACATTGCAAGAAGTTTTTCAGCTGCAAATCTTTTCAATTCTTTTTGGATTCACTTTGATACCATCCTTACTGACCACATAGCCATATATTTCGAGCTCATTATACAAGATGAAACACTTTTTCGCAGCGAAAGTCAAAACGCACTCTTAAAGACCTCAGCTAACTCGACGAATGTCTCCAAGTGTTCTTCCATGCTTTCATTTGTCCATATTTCAATATTGTTCTGGTATGCCGCAGCAACATTCTTCTATCTTTTACCATCCAGAAGCCTATCCATTAACCTTTGAAAGGTCTCACTCGCATTCTTTAGCCTATACACATAACTGTGTATCGTAGTACACCAAGAGACGTAGCTACAGCTACTTTATAAAGGTCTTTTTCACAGATATCTATTTGCCAGTATCCTTTGAACACGTCAACCTACGAAAACCAATCATGTCCAGCGGCTTGTTCCAATATGTTCTTGATTATTGGCAAGGGATAACTGTCTTTAATTATGAACTTATTCAGGAGTTTCATATTACCCACAGCCCTTATTTTGTCAGTTTCATCTTTTTTCTTTTGTACGGGAAAGCAGTGGTAGGCGTATTCACCTGATCCCTTTTCCAACAATCCACATTCGATCATTTGCCTTAAGTAGTCCGCAAATATCTTTCTTGTTTCAGGGTTGTTTATTCTAATCAGATGGAGCCTTATTGATGGTATAACCATGTCACCAGTTCTAATTTCATATTCTATGAGGTTTGTTTTGCCGATGTTTCTCAATTCGTAGATGAAAACTTCAGACACTTTATTCATTAATCAGTTAATTACAATACTTCTTATCAGTTCATTTTGAACCTTGGGTCTCAGATTGATCAAAGCACTATTCTCCATCGTTAATCTCGACACAACAAGAATGTCCTTTCTATCAATTAACCTATCGTCCTTTTCATCATTAATATCCCATTAACTGACCCAACCACTGAACACCAATTCTTGCAAACTTTCATAATTGATCGGTTTGACTTGTGTTGAACCACTTTGCCTCTATTTTTGGCTTTGTTTAAAATGGTTAGAGCTTGCGTTTCTTCATTCAATTCCTTAGGTTCTTCTACATCTATTCTTCGCACCACTATAATGTCATCCACATTGTCGAAGTCACTATCATCATCACTGTCAATTTCGTCTACATGATTATCAATTAGTACTTCGCTCACCCAACTTCTTGGCACTGTCAACACCACAAAGGAAGCGGATTTTGTAGAGGAAGTGATGTTGCATCAATACTCAGTTTCCTTAAAACCCAACGAGCATTGTGCTCTTACATTCCATGGCATGCCCAACAGAACCTCAAAGCTAGCTGTCTCCATTACATAAAAGCCTTGTCGAACTATAATACCTTCCATATCCACTTCGATGTCAGGTATATATTCCACGAATTGACTGACTCTATTATGGCTATTCATCCTCTACCACATACTTGATTCCATTCCAACCCTCTCTTTACAGCATATCTTTTCAACATGAGATTAATGCGGGAACTAGGATCGATCGAGGCTTTCACAGTATCTCTATTTATCTTGACCAACCAGACGGACACAACCTCACTTGATCTTGATTTATTTTTGTGCAAGTCACTTTGTACGATTCTTATTTTCACATTTTGATCAGAGATGGTTTCCTTTTTTCGTTGTGTCAAAGCTCTTGTTAATTCAGATCGTGCTTTGGGTAACCACTTGAACAACTAACCAAGGGTAAGTGTTATCTCCATGCCGGACAACCTTTTCAACAGATCAAGTTCGTCAGCAAGCTCAGTGAATAGTATATATATCACATTTTTACGTAACTTGGCTTGTTCGATTCCTTGTATGGGTTCTTTAATTTTTCCTCTTTTTCCCAATGGTTCGAATGATTCAGTAACTTCGTCCTTCTTTTTTCTTTTTTCAAATGCTCTTATATCACCACACTCGTCAACATCCAATAGATCTACCTTCAAATATTTTAACCAATCGTGGAACCTTTTTCTGAAAATTCTACAAGACGTACGTCAGCATTATTGAATATTATGGCCTTATTGGTCTGACTTTCACCCTTGCTTCAGTTCAGACAATTCTTTATGATATGGCCTTCTTGCCTACACATATAACATGTACGAGGTTTACTGGCTCTTTGCTGGGTCTGTTTTGATTTAGATCTTTTACGGTCTTTGTCACCACATGTTGAATCATGATCTCAATATCATTTGATTTAATTTTTCTTCTTGTTTTACATGGTTGATGCTTAATGCTGCAAGTCCATTCACGATAGCATCTAGATCTACATCCTATTTACTGAGTTGTGGGTTTTCAGGTATGTTTGAGTCCTTATGTTTCTTGAGAGTCTTGTCTCTATTGTACTCCTCCATCTCTAACGCCTTTTTCTTTGCCTTGTCATAATTTTTAGGACAGCAGTTTTCAATCTTTGTTCTATACAGTTTCTTTAAACTCTGAAGGTACCAGTCACGCTTTTTGTCATTCCTAAGTTAGATTTTTACAGCTTCAGCATCCTTCATTCTGCCTGAGGTGTCTCAAACGATTAATTTTTACTTCAGTTTCATCTTGGGCCTTGATCTTATTAATGATAGTCTTTTTTAGATCTACTCAAGTTTTTTTTGGTTTGTATTAGGTCCCTAACCCACATTCTTATACTTTCGGGAATAAAGGTAGAGGTATAAGAAAAGGATGTTAACAAGATCAAAGAAATAAGGTTACAACAATGGGAAGCAAAGATCAAACTGTACTTGTATACTGTGGTGCCGAAATCGACGACATAGAGAACTTTTTCTTTGATTTTGAAGGCTATAGAAAAGCTAAGAAGTATGACGACAACACCCTATATCTAATAGTGCACATACACATGCCCGAA